GGGTCGCCATTTTCACCGGAACAGGCCATTTAACCATCCAAATGATTTCTAAACGGGTTTATTAAGCTGAAAAAGTTGCCAAGTTCCCCTTTAATGTCTACCACCAGGTCCGACAAACACTACTGCTTTTGTCCACAGGAGCCGCCAGAATCAACACAAAAGTTCATTGTAGGGGCTTTGAATGATTTAACCTGTTAAAGAATATTTAACTTAAATATTCTTTAAAGTTAAAATCCCATATCAGTCAGGCTCTAATACCATCTGTGTGCTTGTCAGCCCATATTGGTCTACTCTAAAGATAAGTATTTCCCAACACACAAAACAAACAGTGACACAAACTTTGGTAGTTTTCCTTTTATCACCCTGTGACTGTAGTTCACCAATGATTTGTGATTTCTGTCTTACAAATAAATGACTTCACCCATGTGTTTCACGTCTCCTAAGGTGTCCTCAGGCAGCCCAGGTGCTACATCTTCTTATTGTTCTCACCTGACATGCTAGTCTCTGCCCTGGGATCCACGGAGGTCTCGGACAGGATTGAGTCATTGATTAGCTCAGGCTCCAGGATAAAGGTGACTTTCTTTGAGCTCTCTCCTCCCCCTGCCTTGTTAGTTCTCTCTCTCAGCCCGTCTACAACACCCTGCCTCTCATCTACTGCATCTTGCTCCATATCCTCTGTCTCCAAAAGGGGATCTGACACCTGGACCTCTGTCCACTGAGTTCCATCACTGCTATCAGTGTGTGATGATGCGGCCTGAGTCTCTCCCTTAGGTTTTGCTACATCTTCAATATTTGTTTCAAGCTCTGCATACTGTGTCGGTGTTTGGGTCAGAGCCTGAACTCCATCTGCAAAAGGAGATGCCTGTGTTTGGTTTGGGCCTCTTCTGTCTGACTCTAGATCCACATCTTCTTCTTTTATATTGACTGTCTGGATCTGCTTTGACTGATGACATATATCATCCTCATAAGTACATCCCTCTGTATCTTTCTGGTCTTGTTTTATAGTAAAAATATCCACATCTCCTGTGCATGCTCCCCCATGACATCCTTCAAAGGACTCTATGCCCCCTTGGTTTAAAGTAGTCTGGGCTTTCACAGTGTGATCTATACAGCTTTCTGTCTCTAATTCATCCTCCTTAGAACTAGATTTCCCATCTTCCAACATTTCAAAGGAGCTGGCAATCTCAGCAGAGACATTACCCAAATAACATTCACCATCCTGGAAGTCAGAGGATTCACTGCAATCTGCAACACTGCCTCCTTTCTCTTTTTGCACCCCTTCCTCCTCTTTAGCACACACACCTTCGTCCTGTCCTTCAGCTGTGACAGACCCTACCTCCTTGCACACCTTGCTTTGAGGATATCTCCACGACTTTAACTCCTCATCTGTTGAAGGTTCAATTCCTTCTTCACTGTATGAATAACCATCCATTTCTTCAACTTCTTCGAATGAGAACAGCTCTTCAGTTACTTTGGAAACCACCAAACCTGTTTCCTTCATGTTTGACTCCTCTGGAAGAGTTGATTCTAGCAAGCTCTGCTCATCATCTGTGGGCAACACTGACACATTGTGATCCTCACCGATAGGTGCTCTGGAGAAACTCTGATGCTCACTAAAAGACAACATCAATACAGCCTGGGTCTGTGATTGTTGGCACCCTGGTGGCTTTTCTTCATTCTTAACTGAAGCCTTGTGCTCTTTCTCCTCCCTGACCTCTTCACCCTGATGAGTATTTTGCTCCTTCCATTCCATTTGTAGATGACCTTTATTTTCAAACTCTACCGATGCTGCTGGAGTTTCAGAGTCACAGAAGAGTGTACCTGTTGAGAAAGTGGTCTCACATCTTAACACTAGGCTACCTAAGCTTCATACTTGATATACTTTAGAATTGGTACTGAGTATTCATATACACCCATTATATAAAGAAGGTGCCAAAAGCTATTTAACATATTTAGTGTAAGATATGTTTTTCCCAAGACAATCAAAAACACTTAAAATCAACAAAGGAAACATATCTGGCACAAAGGGAATGCAAGGACGGACTGAGCCACTTCCCACAATTCTGGTACCTAATCTTAGGGTACTGGCTAACTATTGATCTGATACCAGTGCTCTTTTTTGCTTTTAACATCTGTATACCTCACTCTCCTTGTAAAGTAACATCAGATTGTAACTACACATTACTTCGTATGGCCTGGACACCATAGCCCACATGAGCCTTGTTAACATATGAATGGATTCTGTCCATAGAAATGCTAGGGAGCTTTTAATCTGAAACAGATACAGGAAGTATTGAGTTAAAAACATATTCTGAAGGCACTGAAACTGTAGTGAAAGATGTACATGTTGCTGGTATAATGCCAATTATCAAGAAGTAGGCGAGATCACACGCAGGCAGGTGTGGCTGCTCTAAATTTTTAACATGAAATAAATAGACGAACCTTGTCCACAGCTTTCATTTCAAGTTTAGATGACCATACAGCAACATTTTTTTTAAGGATTGTACAAACTTTATAAAATTGCTTGGTTTATAAGATTGTGGTCATTTCAGTGACTGTATTTACTGTGGCTAATTATCACTCAGTTTAATAATACCGTCTGTATTGGTGCTGATACAGATCCATTGTGTCAGACTGGTGCATCATTTGGGAATATATACAATGTGGGGTTCAGTTTTGTCATACTCAGAGAGCAACAGGATCTGGACTATACTGATGGGGCCACAATACTTCTTAGTCTTAAGTCCTTAAGTCCTGGTGTGTATTGACCTAATTCTCTAAAGCAGCATTTTTGAAGATGGTAAGGGGCAAAGTCAAAGGTCTTACCTGTCCCATCTGAAGATTTCTTCTCTGCACGTGAGGTAGGAGCTTCAGTGAAGCTGCCATCTTTCATTCCAGCATCATCAGCCTGCTGAAAGCAAACATATCAGCACCAGGAAACAAATATAAGTACATGAACAAGCTAATAAAAGAAAATATTGCATCTTGCAGTGATGATTGAGATTTAAGTCATGTGCCCAACAACCAGAGAAATAGAAACAGGGACAGAAGACGTATACAAGGTGACTATTGTGTACTGTACATTACAAAGAAGATATAATAAAACATGAATATATGACAGTCATCTCTGAGGCAGTCCTGTTACCTTGTGGTAACCCCACTATTTGTTATCTCAAATGGCACAGCTGCTGTTCTCTACTGTTCATGACGTGTGAAGTGAAAAGATAATCCCTTGTGTGAACAGTCCATTTCCCTCCAACACCACACCAGACTTACTGTACACGTGGACTTCCTTTCTCTAAAAGACAAAAAACTGGAGCCCTGTGAATGGGTAATACTGCTGACAGAAGTAGTAAGTTTGTATTCCAATATTTTCCTTGTTCTGTTATCCAATTCAACTCTTATTACTGCCAAAATCAATAGTGCCCATTCTGTTGGCTCCAAGTATTGCCCAAGTGTCAAAGCCCGAATGTGACCAGAAAGTGAAGAATTATTTGGTCACAGACTCACATCCCAGGGCTGCATGGGAGGCCAACGAACTCCCCTTCTAGATCTAGACACCCAGGAGGGAGATGAGGGGCCAGAAGGGGTCCTTCCCTGCTAATGTTTACATGAGCTGGTGTGAAAAAAATCTCAAACAAATGGGGAAACGACTCACAAAATATGATTAAAAAAAAGAAAAAAGTACATCCACAAAAAACAAGTTAAAATATGATTTGGACATTAAATGTGCCAGTCAAAGGGGGGTGGGCTTCCTCTTTGTAAACATAATACCAATCCAAGAAAAAAAAAAAAAGAGCCAAATATTTAAATGCTAAATCCACTTCTCATCTATCAGCATTAATGCTGAAAACCCTGCAGCTAAAACATTCTTGAATGTTTGAGAGGCAAAAGACCATGATCACAAACCCACCTGAGTTAATGAGGGATCAGAGTTGCTCCTTTTCAGCCAGGCATTCTCACTGATTGGTTGGAAATGCAACTGGCTCAACTCCTGCTCCCGTTCCTGATCAGTGAAACCGTGCCAGATGTCAGACCACGTATTATTCAGTACAAACAGCGGTAGAAATCAATTCATTCATTTTAAAGCTCATATAATTATAGGCACTGCAGATGCTAGTAGCTTTAGCTCAGAACGATCATAATGACATTGTTGGGATGTATAGGCTGACTGGATAGGTGGTGGAAAATGGATGGCGATTTTTGATAGGGACAGTGATAGACAGGAAATGGGGGATAGAGAGAAACACTCGTGAGTTTTGGGAAGGTGTTGAAAAAGTTGGTTCTGAGCACTGTACTGTAACTCTCATTCATCCTGCTGTAAACATATGCCTGATTTTTCTATTGAGCAGAATAGAATGGACTTTTCTTTGTTTTGGTATCAGCATTATATATAAGCTATTGGCAGCTTTGCACTCAAGGATCGGCATCAGCAACTGAAAAACCCATATCAGTCAACCATTAATCCAAAGATTCACAGACAACATTGAGAAATAATGATATATTACAAATGTAGATGATTTATATCACCAGGCTTTTGAGTTAATTTGTCCATCAACGTACAAGAACTTATAATGGTGTATAATGGTGTGAATCTGGGTAATAAAAGTCTGTGAACTCACCTGGCGAATGCGAGAAGCCTGCTTGGAGCTGGGTGTTGTAGTGCCCTGGAGCTTTTGCTGAATGCCAGATACAAAGTTGGAGCAGGTCCGAGGGCAGGGGTTGGCAGGGCTGGGGGTGGGGGCAGGGCTAGCCTGGAAGACTGGCACTTTAAATCGCTCCATTCGCTGATTAAATTCTCCCTCATCTGGAGGAAAAACATTTTTAGAGATACATTTTTATACATAAATAGAAATAAAATTTTACATTTTGGTAGAAATATCCTGATGGGGTTTTCTTGCTCTGTAAGACAATCACACATTTTTCCAACCATCTTTTGTAACTGACTCTTAATATCTTGCCACAGTACTGATATAACTAAACTCAAGTCCCAATCACGTTAGCCATACTTGAGCCTGACTGCACTAGTTGTCTCTGAATGTGTGTATTCATAAGTATCCTCACTCAGGAGATGTTCTGTGAAGCCCTTTTCATGGATGATGATGGATGGGCTGTCAGCCCCAGGATCAGACAGGCACCGCTGGGCCAGCGGAGCTCCTCCTAAAACAACAAACACTTGCTGTTACAAACTGCTGCATACCTGTTCTGCTACGGCTCCACACAGATTGCTCAACATCCTGACAATAGTTCTTATCTTGCATGCAGATAATCCAGCTCGACTGTTGATCTTGGCCATAACAGTCACCATCTTGAGCTGTACCATAAACTCTGCCAAAACTGCAACGCTCTTGTATGTACAGTACAGTTTATTAGGTCCATCTACCTAAAACTAATGTACTCTAACACACTGGGTTCCCACATTTTTCCAGACTCTAATTTTTAGACTTCTTGCAAGATTTCTCAGCTCATATTTGACATTCGAGTACAAACAGCTATTTCTTTATCCTAGATGTAACCTTGATTATTTACTGTGTCCATGGAAACGACGATGAACGCAGTCATAAAGGTTTTCTTACACAGAAATGATTCCTTCTCTTTCGATGACATCAAGTTCAATTCTGGCTTCATAAAAATAATAATAATAATAATAATAATAATGACGACAAGGACAGGACTCCAATGTGACTTTTTAATATTGCCACACAGATGTTTTGGGCAAGGTGCCCAAGCCAAATATTTTTTCATACTCTCCTTTGTTTTTTCCATACTTATCCAGACCTGGAAATGACCAATTCAAATTCCATACTTTTTTATACTGTGTGGGAACTAACAATACAACAGCCTGGCAGTTATTCCTGCCTTTACAGAAGTGTTGAATATGAGGTGTTGATGGCTGTAGTGTGTGAACAGTAGTCTTGACAAAATATTATCCAGTCAATGATGAGCAAAGGTAAGATTACCATCTTGTCTCTGGGTGAGTTGCTGGACTCTGGACCGGATTGAGGGAACCATAGGTGTGTCTGGCTTGGTGTCTAGCTCAGCTAGGCGTCCAGAGGAAGACGGTTTAGGACTACGGTTCTCCTGACCAGCTGCCTCCACACGCCGTCGCTTCTGGCCATCTTTCACCTCTGAGACATCAGACAGAAAGATGCACAAGGACAGAAGTCACAAATATGTAGACATACTGTATTTATGAAGATTCATTCTTGTCAATGCAGGCACAAACAAACCTGAAGGTGAGAAGACATTGTCTTCAGAATCTGACAGAGGCGCTCTCTGTCTCTTCAAGCCAATGTTGCCACTATTTTCCTCACCAGCTTCCATACTGAGCTGCAAACACAGTGACATTACAGAGGCACCAAAAGCTTTAGTCAAGAGCGAACAAAGAGTCAAGCCATGGTAGTTTCTCCTTTCTCTAAACACCTTCTCACCATTAAATAAACCAGATAAAAGGATATTTCTTCACAGTGGAGGTGAATGTCATTATTATGAGCTAGGTTCAAACTCAAACAATGCTATAAGGAATTGTTGGCTAAAACGACTAAAGCTAGCTTTCAGACTATTTTATACAGACAGAAAAAACGCTTCAGTTATACCAAATAACATGAAACATGACAACGCCCTGGCTTTCAGGCATGTTGAAATGAAACACACATTCATAGAAAGTTGTGCTAACTAGTTAACGTTAGTTAACTAAATGCATCGCGTTATCTAACTTAACACTGCAATAACCCTGGGCTGCTACTTTTTACTAACGTTACTATGCTTTTAAAAAACAAAAAAAAACAAACAAAAAAAACTATTATCTCCGAGCATTGACAAGCTGTAACTTTACAACTTAAGGAAGTACATTAGCTAGCTAATGTTAGCAACACTGTCCTTTGAGTTAACACTGCACAGCTCGTTTCAGGCTAACTTTGACCTGCACAACGTTAGCCTAGCTTGGAATGATAAGCTAGCTTTAGCAGGAACAAACTACCTTGTTAACGTGTTCACAGAGTTAGCATATCATGTATAAGCCGAGCAAGTGGTTCGCTACCTTACCTGAAAAGATGCGCGTATGAAACTACAGTCTGTATGAAAACAGGTCAACGTTAACTGACAGAAAACAAGAAACAACCTTCTTGCTCAGTCTCCTCCTCCAACTTTGAATTTCAGCGGGTCTTCTGACGTTAGCGGAAGTGTACTGGAGTCCCGTAAATACCTTCGACGAGGGCTGATCTAGAACCAGACAACATACAGCAGGCCTGTTTTGCTCAATAGACAGGAGGTTTGTAATCTGATTCCACGTCTGTACAGCTGAATAGTTCAGAGTGAGGCCGTTTTACCGTAATACGCGGAGAAAACACGCAAATCAAGATTCCGCTACACCATGAATGGTATTGTTGTACAGCTTTCACGAAAAATTACAACAAATGTATTTTTCGGGGTGTGATATAAAACTTTAACACAGGTTATAATTAATAATACGATGTTAGACGTAATGACATGTAATGTGTTTATTTAAAACAAGACAAGATAGATTTTATTCATCTCACACTGGGGAAGTTCACTTACTACAGCAGCGCCACATACAACACAACACAGCACAGCACGGGTTCGAAAATACACATTAAATAAAAATAGAATAGAAAAAACACAAGATATAATCGAAATATAAGAATAGGAGTTGTGCTTTTTATATACAGATGTGATATGTGTGTGTGTGTGTGTGTATAATTGCAAAAAAGTGTCTGACTGACGTCACAGAGAGGACAAACAGTGCTTCATTATTTTGTTATAGATATAGACAGATCAGAAACACAGTAGTGGATACTTATGGTGAGAAATCATATTATGTACAGATTTGCCTGTATAAGATATAGAATTGATGCCCTTACTCTCTGGGGTGTATGATGTCTGTAAAATAATTTCTATTCACACATCCATCCTCCTGCTACTTTTCTGGGTCAATAATTGAACAATACAGTGACCACTGACCTTATAGTGCCACCGTTCTGTCTCACAAACGGACTGATATAGGCTAGTACACTGCTGCAAGAGACTGGATGCAGTATGGCAGAAATCTCCAGCCACTTCACGGCAATAGAAACATCTTCAATCACAGTCAAGAACAAAATACATACTTTCTATGCATCTTGATGGGGAACACATTTCTTACAGTTCTGAATGTGAAACTTATACTTATAACGATAGTCGTCTTCTAGTTTGAATGTATTATGTTCTGACATCTTATAACAGCAACACCTGCTTCACAAATGTATCTTTAAATAGTAATTAAAAAGCTCAGAGCATTACATTGGTCTCCCACTGACAATATATGCAAATCAGTTACAGTTGATGATCATGAGGAAACTGATAGTGTTGCAAAAGCATGCACACAACTAAGCTAAACCTGGGTTTGAGTGCACGTCTGGAAACAACTGCGATAAGATCTTGTGAACATCGTGATACAGTATCTCCATCACTATGGTCTGCACCACAAACATTTGCATAGAAGGGGGAACTGACTCATGGTAAAATAGTAATGTAATTTACCCTGGAGGAGGCCGAAAGCAATATGGGTTTTTTTCTGGTGGTTGGTATTTTGTTTTTGTATTTATACATAATTTATTTATGTCCTCTGATTGAAGACATTTTTACTAAGAAAAAACCCTGCACTTTGATTTCTTTCCTTTCTGTTTGCGTGCGTGCGTGTGTGTTCCAGTATGCAAGACTGAGAACAAATGTAATGTCACAAATAAAATGATAAAACAATCAGACTGTGTAACATTCAGATCCCTTTAGCTTGGACTCATCCGTTACAGGCTGAGTAAATGTGATACCTACGTCTTAAAGATGGTGCTGGCAGCAAATAAAAAGGACATTACAAAACACTGGCTTCAGAAAAGTTGCCTCACTACCAGCCTCTTTGTCAGTATTGTTAAACAGATGACCAACACATGACTCTGAAAACAACTGGGAGAAAAGCGATGGGACAAATTGTGCTTGCATTTATTATGTGCAATATTTAATTTTTCATATGAGGTAGTTTTGCCTTGACTTACTGACTACCTCAGGTTTCTGTTCCTTATTTTGCTTATTGTCTTTATAATATGACAAATGTTTATAAATAAAACAAATTAAATCAGACATTTTAAAGGGCTAGTTCACTGAAATACCATTACAAAAGGAGAATGTCTTGGTTTAAAATTAGCCATCACTGAGATATCGGCTGTCTACACGTTTAATAGGGATTCATTCTAAGGTAGAAAGTTATTCCAATGAAACTGAATAATGCAGAGTAACGGCGACACTGACTCTGGGAGGATGTGCTGATGTAGAATTTTTCAAATGTTATTTATCAGTGATTATTTGGAGGGGCGTGTCCTGACTTTTGAGGCACTGACGTATGAAGTGGTGGCATGAAGTATGTGTCTCAGCTTTCCAGTCATTCCCAATGTATGTAATTCCAACACTGTTTATGAACCCCCAGTATGCAGAAATATATAAATACACTTTAGCGAAAAATAACATATTTATACCACATGCAAACAACTACATGGCTTTTGCCCAAAACAGCAGTGGATTAGCATAAAGTGTGAATGTCGGGAAGGGGAGACTCGTGGGTACCCATTACCCAGTACCCAGTAACAGAGGTAAGGATAATGAGGTAGCAATTGGGGTAGCTAATCAGATTTCAGGGGTGGCCAATTCCACCCCAGGACACTGGGACACACCCCTGCTTATGGGGTGGATGTGGTTCACTGATCATAGGGTTGGTGGTTCGATCCCCACCTCCTCCTGTCCACATGTCAAAGTGTCTTCCAGTTTACAGTGGACGTACAAGCCCAGTGCATTCCTAAATTCTGGTCCCAAGCCCAGATAAATGATTAGTGCTTAACTCGATGGTAGCCCATATCTGGCCCTGAATGATAAATTAATATCAGCCCCTGGACACTATTTACAGTGTGCTCAGTCCTCAATAACAGTGGTCCCCAACCCTTTTCCTTCAGGGACCCCTTTTCTATCATTGAGTAAACTGACGACCCCTCACTAACTGATATATTTTATGGATTTTTCATATTATATTCAATACAGAACAACTGATAAACTACACAATTAACTGCAGTAGGTTTGTGTAAAACAAGCTTAGAGATGGGTAGGTTTGGAGCCTTGCCACTATCCTCTGCTGGAAATGTAAAAGGTGAAATGTTAAAAAAAAAAACTAAAAGCAAAAAGTCCCACTCCACTCTTGTTCGTACAGTTGGATGTTCTTCACTGTGCAGAATGATGTATTGAAAGATCAGGTCCAGAATCCAGCTTATACAATAATTTTTAATGAAGTACAAGGAGTAGGAGTAGTTGTTTTGGATTTTTATGTGGAAATGATATTGTTTTTGCTAGAAAAACATATCAGACATATCCTGTATAATCTATATCTGGAGGGGAAGTTGACAATGATCTAAAAAAAAATGTATGTTTCTGTTTTTTGTATGATGACCTCAACCTAAATACACACCAAGATGAAAAGATAAACACTGACAAGACACTTCAGTTTTCTGTGGTAGGAGAGGAGATTTAGATCTTTATAAATAACTGTTATTTCCCCTTTGACGTACTGTAAGTTCCTTCTCTAGACAGCAGCAGTCGTCGAGTCTGTATTTTCGGTGAAAAGTTAAGGGGGCGTAGGGAAATTCTGCATATAATCTCTCATCATAGATGATTAACTTTGAATGGAAAAGCTGACATCATTCAGAGGATTTATACAGGACGCAGTGCTGAGACTCCACCATCACCATCACCATCACCACCATCATTTGACTGACAGCATCATGAGGACTCTCTACTTGACTCTGGGGCAGCTGCTGCTCGCCGCCTGCTGCTGTTACGCCGTGCGTAAGTGATCTCTGTTTGTGCCTCACTGTGTCTGTTTGACGGTCTCTGACTAACATGTTTATAATGACTTTATCCATTTACTTTCCTCACAGCTAATGCTCTGAAGGCCAGCACAGTGCCTGCAATCTGCTGCTTCAACTTTTCCCAGCGGCCTTTACCATTAAAGCTCGTGTCTGACATCACCAAGACCCACAGCTCCTGTCAAAAGCAGGCATTCGTGTGAGTTTGTGCTTCATTCTTCTACTGTTTTCCCCTCATAATGGAGTAATATATAGATAGACGGTCAATGATTGTCAGACAGGCTTATCACA